TACCTTCCAAGACCACAGGTATCAGAGCCGTGTGTCAACAGCAGCTGGCAGATTACTTCTGAGGCCTTGTTTTGTCTTCTGCAATATAAGAAAACTAGGGTCCTCCTCAGGGCTATTCTGATTCGTATTTTAAAAATTCAAGGTACAGTTTGAGACAACTGGGGTCACTTGGACATGGGCTGGTGGTACAGTTGAGCAATGTTGGGTTTTCTGAGCTGTGGCATCAATTCATGGTTACAGAGGAGACTGCCTATGGTTTCCACAAGATGCACACTCATGAGCATTTTCATGGATGAAGTATCATGATGCCTGTACCTTACTTTCCAATAGTTCATCAAAACAAATATAGCCACAAGTAGACACAAGCATGCACACACACACACACACACACACACACACACACACACACACACACACCCATGCATGCATAGAGTAATAAAAATTGAGAAGCAATGTGACTAAGGCCCCATCTCCATAGAAGTCTATGAAGCCAGCAGAGGTGTGTGGGGAAGACAGGGTACTGGCTGAGGTTCTCTGTAGAAACCTGCCCCCACCCGGCCCCTCCAACGCTGTCAGGCATCCAGGAGGCATGCTTACTCTTTAGAGAGGGTGAAATATGGCCTCGTCAACTGGGTCAGTAAGCAAGGGTCCCCTATAATAGCCCTAATTGATAAGGATCAGGTACTATAAACTGAGTTTTCCTTTCTTGTGTATGTATTTTTGAAGCACTGTCTATGTTGAATAGGCTAGCCTCCAATGTGCTATGTAGTCCAGGCTGGCATGAACTTAGAAGCCTCCTGTTTTTACCTCCCAAACCCTGGGATTCCAGGACTGGACTGCCACGTCCCACCGTCACGGCTATTAACTGAGTATTGATGTACTAAACGCTAAGCATCCCTACCTTACTTCTTCCCTGGCCTCTGAGAGTCAACAACCAGACTTTGCCATCTGGGACAGAGCCTGGAGAAGGGCCGGGCCCTAAAGATAATGCCTTCGGGACTGTCAGCAACCACACGGCCCAGCCAGATAGTCTAAGGGGTGGGTTGGCTAATATACCTATAGACCAAATTCTAGCCATGTGCCAAAAAGCAGCATCAGGCACCAGAAGGGTCTCTAATGTGAAAACCAGAAACCAAAACAAACTCAAACCTGCAACAGGAGCTATATAGGGAGAGCTGAGTTGAAAAATCACCGAACTATATCAAAAGTTCTGCACCCACGAAACAAGAACAGAATATTACCTAAAACTCCAAATTAATGGTTGGGGGACGAGAGCTTTTGGGAATTAAAGATAGGAAAGCAAATGAAAAGAACCCAATAAGTGGGTTAGAAACCACGAGCCACGTGGCACCATGAGGCCCAGAGGCATGGAGAACAGCTACAGATCCACCCCTGGGCGGGCATCGATCAACCACAAGCCTGCCCCAACAGGTGGTCAGGCACCATTATGATGACGAGTATATGGTGGGAGAATGGGAGAGAAAGAGAGAGAGAGGCAGAAAGGTTTATGTGCTGGGAAGAGAGGTGGATCCAAAGAGTTGAGGGCAGAGAGGAACCGGCTGACATGGGTAGCCTACTTGCCACCTAGGGCCACGGTGATGTCCCGGCCTGGGCTGATGCCGAGGGCCATGTCTGGGTCTGTGGCCCTGATGCAGCCATGGTAGACTGTGTTGCTGTCTGTGACTCCTGTTACCAAGGGCCCTGCAGATCCCCAGAGGCTGGGCCACCATCTGTGACCATGTTGGTGTCCAAAGGATGTGCCCTCACAGGGCCTGCGCTGCCCAGACTGCTGCCGAGGGCTACGTCTGGGTCCGTGGCCCTGTGGCCCTGTGGCAGCTGTGGTCTGTGTTGAAGTCCGTGGCTCCTGGTACGACCGAAGACAATAAGGATAGGGCTGCACAGAGTTGGCTCTGCCCCTCACTGGCTGAGAACTGGCCCGTCCCCCACCAACTATAGCACTTGGGAGAGCGGGCCCTGCCCCTCACCCAGGCAGAGCAGCAGAGCTGACCCTGTTGGCAGGGTACAGGCGACATGGTCCTCGAGAGCAGGGAAGCTGACACTGGCCCCCTTGTCTGCCATGTGGTGGCATGGGTGAGGGAAAGATGCCTCTTCCCACCCTCCTACCCCTACCCCTTGCCACCTGCGGCAGGTGGGAGAGCTGGCCTCGGGGCCATGAGAATGGGGGAGCTGGTTCTGCACCTCACCAACTGCAGCCCTCCGGAGAGAGGGCCCTGCGCCTTACCTGGGCAAGACAGCAGAGCTGGCCCTAGTGGCGTGGGTGCAGGTGACCTGGCCCTGCCCCTTACAGCCTGCTACAGTGGGTGAGCTAGCAGGGGCAATGCTGGAGAGCTCACCCTGATGGTGTCGGTGAGGGAGAGCTGGCAGGCTGACCAACCCAGCTACCACCCAGGCCCAGAACCAGGGCTATGAGCTGGCCCACCCCAACATCCACCTCATCTATGAACTGCTGGAGCGTGTGAAGGGGCCAGACCTGCAGACCCAAAGCTGCAGGATCACCACGACACAGGACCACCACCAACTATCCAAGAGGAGTCCCAGTGAAGGTTCGGTATTGAGGGTGTAGCAGAAGCCAGAGGCCAAGGAACCAGACCAATGACTGACTCATTGCAATGAACACGTACAAGTGAAGATGTATGGACCAAAGGGTACACTGTGTAACTCACTGTGTCACACTACAGATTCTGCACTGAGACTTTTTGTATGTTGGTTAGTTTGTTTTTGGTTTTGGTCTTTTGTTTTTATTTTAAATTTTATTTTATTTGTGGGAGAGGCAGATTGCAAGAGTAGAGGGTAGTTATGAAGGGACAGGGAGATGAATGGGATCAGGATGCATGATGTGAAATCCACAAAGAGTCGACAAAAAAAAAAAAAATGGCTGTTTTCAACCATGTGTAAAAAAAATGAAAAAAAAAAAAAAAAAAGCCTAAAAGAAAGGTGGGTTAGAAGAATAAGGTACAAAACAGAAAATAGAAGTAAGAAAATTGAAACGAAAAAGAGAAACAGAAAATTGAAGAGTTGGCCCAACAGATCACACACCTGAAAAACAAACTCTTAAAAAAAACAACAGGCTTGATCGATACACATTGTACATATGCATGGGACATATAACTGAACTCTGTTAGCATACATGACACATGTTAATAGAAAATGTTTAGAGGGGGAGGCATGATTAAATATGAAAGGATAGGTCCCAGAGCTGAAGGGCAGGAGATTTCCGATTGAAAGTGCGATGAATCAGAATTGCCAAAGCTCATCATCGGGTGTGGTGGTTAGTTCTTGTCAAGGACATAAACTAGAGCCACCAGGGAAGAGGGAACTTCAGATGGGAACTGCCTTCATCAGACTGGCCTGTGGGCATGTCTGTGGAGTCATTTACCTTTTAATTAGTGATTGCCGTGGGAGGGCCCAACTCACTCTGGGCAGCTCACCTGTGGGCGGGTAGGCCCGGGTTCTATGAGCAAGCAAGCGGAGTAGACCATGGAGAGCAAGCCCAGAGTGTCGCTCCTCAGGGTCTCTGCTCCAGTTCCTGCTGCCGGGTTCCTGCCTTGGTTGCCTTTGACGATGTAACATGTAAGCTAAATAAACCCTTTCTTCCTTCCTTCCTTCCCGAAACAGTGTTTTCTTATCACAGCAACAAAAAGCAAGCCAGAACAACTGGGGACAAGGAGAAAAATCCTACCAACTGCCCCAAAAAGGAAAACAGGAATCAAGTATCAAATCACTTACTCCCCACACACCCTTTCTTTGGGAAAAATACTTGACCCAAAGCAGAGTCAACGAGACAGAGACAGACATGGGATGCAGGAAACGAGAAATGGCCCCCGGAAAGGGAGGAGGTGCCCCCCAGGATGATGGTGAAGGGTGACGAGAAGAGCAGGACCAGGTACCCAGAGCTAGTGAGGGGACAGGACCTCTCTGGAGAGCTCTCCCGTGAGCTGAGTGATAGGATACCCATGTCTCCAAACACACAAAGAGGACTCGGATGGGTGGGGGCAGTTGGAGGTTGAAATGGAACTAATACAAAACTAAGAACACAAGACAGTTGTTATCAAGAAGGAAACACAAGCTGATACAGGCAAGATGAAGCAAGCATCGTTGGTCCTTATCAACTCAAGGGTCAGCCGTGAACGGGGTTGATATGATCATCGTCCAAAAGAGACCGTCTAAGCAAATGCCACGGCGCATCTATGTGGGAATAGTAGTAGGGCAGGAAGAGGGTGTGTCTGATGAATGGAGGCGGCGAGCACAAACAACGTGAGTCTGGGGAAGTCGGACAGGAAAGCCGCAGACAAGGTGGTCTGGGAGTCTAGAGTAAACAACAAAAGAAAAGCCGGGCGGTGGTGGCGCACACCTTTAATCCCAGCACTCAGGAGGCAGAGCCAGGTGGATCTCTGTGAGTTCAAGGCCAGCCTGGTCTACAGAGTGAGGTCCAGGACCCTGTCTCGAAAAACCAAAAAAAAAAGAAAGTGCCAGAAGAAACCCACAGGGTAAGGACAACAAAGAAGAAAAAAAACATCATTTTTAATGATTTTTGTTTGGTTGGGGTTTTTTGGTAACAAATATCCCTCTCTCTCTCTCTCTCCATATATATATAATTTACATTTTAAAGTACATCTACCTATGGGTGTGTGTATATATGTATGTATGAATATATAAAGTCCATATATATTAAAATATAAGTACATAATTTTATTATAAATAATTAAGACAAAAACAATACATAACTTTTTAAAACTCAAAAACTATGAAATATTGTTTAGTAAATTACTTTAATTCTTCTTTACTACAAAATCACAGGTATACCACAGAAGCATTTCACTAGATATTAAACATCTTATTTAAGCATGTAAAGGCATCTCACATTAAATTATTAGTACACTCGGGCCTACATGATAATATCCTTAGCAATACAAGTGCTGACTCCTAGTACTTGTGGCCAAATTCACGTCACCACACTGGTGGTGACAGCAAGTACTCACCAGCTCGAGTGGGCTGAGGCGGGTGCCAGAGATGGGCCTGGAGTCAGCTAACTCAAAGCTGGACGCATGAAGGCTGGCAGAAGAGAGGGTGCAGAGAGTTAGTTTGTGGGGGACTTCTGCTTCTAGTGTGTGCCAGCAAACTCTAGCTGGAACACAAGTAAAGGCCCTCAATGCAGAAGCACCCAGAAAAGGCAATTTAACCGGGTTCTGACACTCAGAACTGTCAATGGTTTTCCTGTTACTATTAGGAAGACTAAAAATACTGAAAAATGAGCTAGATATAGGGGTCCGTGCCACAACCCCAGTCATCAGAACGTGGAGGATAAGGAGCTCAAGACTAGCCTGAGTTATATGACAAGACATAGCCTCACATGAATTTTTAAATGATAAAAGAGGGGCAGAGATGCAACTCGGTTTACAGAACGCTCAGTCTGTGGGGTGCTCAGTCTGTGGGGTGCTCAGTCTGTAGAGTACTCAGTCTATAGAGTGCTCAGTCTATAGAGTACTCAGTCTGTAGAGTGCTCAGTCTATAGAGTACTCAGTCTGTAGAGTGCTCAGTCTATAGAGTACTTAGTCTGTAGAGTACTCAGTCTGTAGAGTACTCAGTCTGTAGAGTGCTCAGTCTATAGAGTACTCAGTCTATAGAGTACTCAGTCTATAGAGTACTCAGTCTGTGGGGTGCTTGTCCGGCATGCACAAAGCCTTGGGCTCATTTCTAGCACTACCTAAAACTGAATGTATGGCAGACGCTTGCAGTCCCAGCACTCAGAAGGTTGGGGCAGGTTGTAGGCATGCTAGTTACCTGAGGCTATGGCAGTCACTATTAACTACTTCATTTCAAAGTGAGTTTTTTTACCCAGTGTCTAGAATTAACTTTAGGAATCATGGTCAAAAGTCAAACTTTAAAAAAGAAATTGGAAAAAGCCGTGATCACGGGTATGTGGTGTCTGTAGTGGCCTCTTCGGGGCCCCGTTTTTCCCTTCTAAAAAAAAAAAAAAAAACAAAAAAAAAAATAAAAAAGAAATTGTCTTGAAAAAAAAAATCAAGATAATCCATCACACTACCATTGAAGAAAACTCCCATGATTCTATCAATAAACACACACACACACAGACACACAGACACACACAGACACAGACACACACACACACACACACACACACACACACACACACACACACGGAAAGGAGGGAACTTCTCTACCTTATAAGGAATATCCGCAAACACCCGACAGCTCACATCATGCTTTCTAAGAGGAACCTGAAGCTTCACCACTAAGATGAAGGTAAGGCAAGGATTTACCCATGCACAGCTGCTTTCCAACAGCTACTGAAGTCACAGTTAATTCAGGAAGACAGGGAAATAAAAGGCAGATAGATAGGAAATGAAGAAACAAAAGAACTTTGTTTGCAGAAAGCATTATCTTCTCTGTAGGAAAGAATACAGAACTGACAAAATCTAACACCACCACCCCCGCCCCTTGAGTGGATAATGGATTACAGCAGGGTTGCAGGATACAAGATTAATACAAGTCAGCTTCCTTACATGGACAGACAGGTAGAAACCGAGAGGAAAATGCAATATAATAAGTGCTTGGTTGTAAAGCCACCAAAACACGCATGACCTGTGAGGAAGTGGAAAGTCAACGGCAGGAACCAAAGGAGCATTAACTAGAGAGACAGCATTTTCATGGAAGGAACACAGAATACTGTTGCACTGTTAGTTTTCTTTATTGCAACATTATGTATAAAGGTTTTTTTAAGGTGTTACTTCCATCTTACACTAGAGATTCAATGCAATCTTAGAGTTAAACCCAGAAAGTTATTTGTATCAACAAACTGAATCTGAAGTGTATACGCAGAGGCAAAAGACCCAGAATAATCAACAGCAACACTACAGTAGACCCGGAATAATCAACAGCAACACTACAGTAGACCCGGAATAATCAACAGCAACACTAAACAGGAGCAAAGTTAGAAGACAGACACTGTCTGACTTCAGAACGAACCATAATGCCAGTAACAAGACAGTGTTATCATACTGGTGAAAGAAGCATCATCAGAAACAGACCTGCGAACACACAGTTAAATGACGACCACCAGAGGAGCCAAGCAATGCAGCTGCTCCTTGCTTTGATTGGACTTAGAGACCTAAAAGCTTCCTAAGTGGAAAGTTTTGTTAAGTCAAATGTACTTAGCACACCTCACCTACCTATGTCTATAGTGATATTTTATTTGTACTAAAATGTGATTTGTGTGTTAATAAATAAAGTTGCCTGGGGGTCAAAGCTATTAGAGCCATAGCAGAAGCTGGGCGGTGGTGGTGCACGCCTTTAATCCCAGCACTTGGTAGGCAGAGCTAGGTAGATCTCTGTGTGTTCAAGGATACAGCCAGCGTTGGAGACACACACCTTTAATCTCAATACCAACCAAAGAAGACCTGGAGGTCTGTACAGACAGGCAGTGACGAGGAGGTCAGGTGGTTGGGTTTACAACCAATGAGAAGGCAGAACAGAAGTCTATATAAAGACAAAAACATAGGAAGTAGGTCTCTTGGCTGAAGAGGCTAGCTGTAGCAGATGGGTAAGGCTTTTAGCTCTGATCTCTTGGCTTTCTTCTTTGCATTGGTTCTGTGTTTCTTATTTAATAAGACGGTTGGTTACATCTACATATGTCAGAGCTTGTCATGGTGGCGCACTACCAACTGAGTTGTTTACTCTCAGGATCCGGTGGCCAGTCGGAAGCTGCAGATTGCTACTGTTGCCCAGCATCGTAAGAGTGCATCCCACAGCATTGGCTAGCCCAGGAGAATACCAAAAGTCACGGCCTAGTTTCTCCTGAGTACCCAGCACTTCCAAAACATCATAAAGTGAACCATTGTTAAGTGAGTGACTTTCTGCGGTGCAGAAAGATAATCTTAGACACACACACACACACACACACACACACACACACACACACACACACACAACGGGGAGGCAGACTTCACACTCATCCCAGAAAAGAACTCAAATTCAATTTCAGACACAAATGTAAGACTCAAAATTATAAAACCTCTACAAGATAGCATAAAAGAAAGTCTGGGAAAATTGGGATAAGGTGATGACTTTTATTTACAGCAATGACGTCAGCACCAGGACAGAAAGCTTTTCAGCAAAACTATACCAAAATTAAAAACATCTGCTCCACAGAAGACAGTCAAGAGAATAAGAAGATAAGAAGTCCAAGTCTGGTAGGGAAAAAAAAAAAAAACTTGCAAAAGATGGATAAGATAAAAGACTGCTATCCAAGCTACTCAAAGAATTCTTAAATCTCAACAAGAACACAAACAACCCAATTTAGAAACTGGGCCGCAGACTTGAACAGATGCCTGACCAAAGAAGACACACAGATGGCGAGCGAGCGCATGAAAAGATGCTCTGCATCACGTCACTGGGGAAAGATGCAAATCAGCACAAGATACAGCCACACACCTACCGGAGAGTCAGGGTCCAGATCGCAGGGAACGCAACAGAACGGCAATGCTCACTTCATGCTGGGGAAGCACACAGGGGAGAGCCGCGGTGGAAGGGGCCGCTTGGTGCTTTCTTACAAACATATTGTCACCATCTGTCCCTGCCATGGGGTCCTTGGCAGCTACCCAAAGAATCTGGGAACTTGTACCTCCCTCAAAACATGCACGTGGAGGGTCAGAGCACTGATGGACACGGGCTGTGGAACCAGAACTTCCATTGGAAGTACTCAAGTGTGCGAATAGAGTGCAATCAAATGATGCAACTTTATTAGGTGCTAAAAAGCAATGAGCTACCAAGCCATGCAAAACCACCGAGGAAGCATCAATTCGAGTGGGTCGGAGAAAGCAGCCAATCAGAAAGGGCTCCATAGGCACGATGCCTGCTATTCGGCATCCTGGGAAATGCAGGACTTTAGAGACAGTAAAATGATCAATGATTGGCAGGTGTTAGGGCAGGGAAGGCTGGGTAGAGAAAATGTAATCTGGTGGCCTAAAGGTCTGTGTGTACACCAAAGCCAAGGGTCGGTACCTGAAGGAGGAGGGAGGTCTGTTTTCTGGGGTTCTTGATGAGGCGGGCCCAAACAGCTTCCTCTGGTCTTCCCGGGGTGTAAATGGTCTCTGGGTTCTAACCGATCTTAAGGCATTCCGCGCTTCATTTATGATTTCCGCACTAGTCTTCTGCTTGGACAGCAGAGGTCGATGAAAGGGATCCAGCTTTTCTAACTTCTGATCATTGGATGACAGCATCTTTCCTTTCAACTTAAAACGGTCTTCAGAGACACACCCTGCAAATACAGGATACAAGGAACACAGGCTATTTTTCAGCTGGTACATTAGAAAGAAACACACACATCCATAAACTAAGCTACACCTTTATACACACCCAAAAATGAACACAATGGGGGCTGGGGACGTGTCTCGGTGAATGGCTGCACAAGCTTGAGAACCCAAGTTCAAATCCCCAGAACCCGTTACAAAAGCTGGGAGTGCGGCGTGCGCGCGCCTGTTGCCCCAGTGCTGGAAGGCCCAGGCAAGCGACCCCAGGGGCTCTCTGGCCAGCCAGGCTCGCCCAACAGCAATCTCTAGGTTCAGTGAAAGACCCTATCTCAAAAAGTAGGGTGCAGAAATGATTGAGGAAGACAATTTCCTGTCAACTCCCTGGCTCCCACATGCCCTGAACAGGCAAGTGCACCTGCACATGCACGTGCCTATATGCATGTAACACACACACACACACACACACACACACACACACACACCTGCATGCACACTCACGCGCATGTACACACACACACACACACACACACACAAGGACTAAAACCAGGGCCTACTGCTACCAGTACTTTACTGAGCCTGAGCCCTGCCCCAGCCCCGCCCCCCCCCAGCCCAGCCCCGCCCCACGCCCGCCCCAGCTCCAGTCCCACCCCTAGCCCTGCCCCAGCCCCGCCCCAGGCCAGTGCCAGCACCAGCACCAACCCTCACCTCATATCCATAAACCTACCTGAAAGCACTGGGAGTTCTGTTAAAAGTTTTAACTAAACTTTCCCCCTTCCCCACCACCCTCTATACAAAGGGCTTACATAGGTTAACCGGGAGACTGATGATGGGGCATCCTTCCAAACTGCAATTGTTTTCCAACAAACCCCCAAGAATGGCTCATTCTCTCCCATACTGTCCATTTTACTTTTGAATGAATCAATTCAAATCACCTTCAATTAAGATATTGCCCATGGTGTATAAATACCAAATATGAATATCTAGTATTCTTCTCCCAGCCTATCAAATACTTAAAGCCATGCAGCAGGGCCATGAGACAGCAGATCCTTCTCAAATGTCAACGTGACCCACAGCCTAATCCAACAATGGCCCAATGTGGTCCACAGAGACCAAGCTAGCTCAACAATGGTCCAGTGTGGCCCACAGAGACCAAACTAACCTGACAATGATCCAACATGGCCCACAGAGACCAACATAACCTGACAGTGGTCCAGTGTGGCCCACAGAGACCAACCTAAGCTGACAATGGTCCAGATTTTTAAAAACATATTCTAAGCAGTATTTGTTATCAAGGTATTCATTATTTTAATAAAACCTCTAATCCTAAAAGAAAAATAAACAAACAAAAACAACAAAAAAACTAATCCCAATCCTAAAAAATAAAAAATAAAAAAACCCAACCCTACACAAATGTACTTCCAGAGACAGAAGCCTATACATTATTCAGGCATCTTAGCCATCCAACTTTAGAACTTGAGGCTTCTACTAAAAAGAAAATGTTTTGTGACCCATGGAAGGAAACAGAAAAGATCCTATTTCCATAAGCAAGTGGTTCCTTAGACAGAGACATTGGCTACAGTATGACCCCTTCCACTGAACTCTTACACAACAACAGGAACGTTCAGTGAGGTCTACTGCACTCCACCCCACAAGTTTCTGAAAATACAAACACTGTCGTTCTCCACATACAAAACACCAGGTGTTTCACTAGGGCTGCCTGGGCAATTCTATTTTAGGAGGTTTTGTAATTCAGGATTTTGAGTTTAAACGAGGACTCCAGAATTTTATATACATATAAAATTTATATACATACATACATACATATATATATGCATATATACACACACATGCACACACACACACACACACACACACACACACACATATATATACACAACTATCAAAAGCTAAGGCAGGCCTAAGACATTATACTTCTAACACTTCCGACAAGGTTAGATTATCAATGACTTTCAATGGGATTTGTTTCAAAATATATAAAATGCTTTAGGTACACATACATCTGTCTACATTTATTTCTATTTCATGTATATTAATATATGCTTGTGTATATTTTTAATATATAAATTCAGCCTCACAATATACAACTTAAGTGGTCACGGCAGGTGTGTTGGCTTGACTTTGAAAGACTCTTTGAAAGTTTTGGGGTGCGGGACAATGGTGGAGTGTGTGCTTAAAACTCCAAAGGCCCTGATTCTGATCCCCAACACCCACAAAAGGAAACAAAAGCCATGGGCACTTGAAATCATGTGACTTAGAAGTTTCTATCCAGTAAAGAGGTTTCTTTCCAGACACTAATCAGGTTGTCTGTGCCTTCAGCCTAGCACAGCACTAATGAGTCCAGCAATGCCCCCAGGGAATCAGGTAAAACTAATAAAGATTCAACAGAGTGCTTAGGAAGTAATAAAGGCCCCTTGCTCTTGACCCACAGTCCTCTCTGGCTAGCTTTCAGTGTGCATTGAAAAGTACACTGAGCAACAGCGCAAGAACTCAGGCGATCTTCTAGAAGTTCTGTAAAATATTTGCATCTATAGGTAACTAGACTGACCAAATATCTGTGGGGGAAATGTAGGTAAAGGGGTAAAAAAACAAAACAAAACAAAAACAAAAAAACAAAAACAAACAGTGTCAGGGCGGGAGTGATTGATGGCTCAGCAGTTAAGAGCACTGGCTGCTCTTCCAGAGGACCTGGGTTCGGTTCCCAGCATCCACATGGTGGCTCACAGCTGTCTACAGCTCTAGTCCCAGGTTATCTAAGGGCATCTTCTGGCCTCCTTGGGCACTGCACGCACACGATGGACAGATATACATGCAGAAAAAAATCCATACACAGGAAAATAATAATTTTTACAATGTGTGTAAATGTTCACAACTTTCTCTGTCCCTCCCAAGTGCTGCTTTGTTATTTAGTAAGAATGGGTACAATAATAATATGACCTGTACCATTTATCTCTCCTTATTAATTAATTAATGTTAATTAATATTAATGTTAGCATATATTAGCTAAATCAAACTTAGAAATGTTTACTAGTATAGATAACCTGGTGACAATTGTGGTTCTTTTGGTAAAGAGGGTGTTTGGTTTGTTTTTTTTTTATAGTGGTTAAGTTACAGGTTATTATCAGTTAGTTTGTAAATTATCAGTGGGTTTAGTCAACTTGGAAAATAATTACTAAGAGTGTGAACATCTGTTTACAACAAAGCCTGCCAGAACCCTAACACAATCACCCTACAGAAATCTTAATTTTATGAAGCCTTCCCGCCAGTGGGAGCAGGTTCACTCTACCAGAGATAATCAACAGACACAAAGGCCGTGTGTTTCCTATGGGCAGAGGCCTCCACCTGGATCTCTGGGAAGACAGAGAACATTAAAACTCGGCCTTTGTGCCGGGCGTGGTGGCGCACGCCTTTAATCCCAGCACTCGGGAGGCAGAGGCAGGCGGATCTTTGTGAGTTCGAGGCCAGCCTGGGCTACCAAGTGAGCTCCAGGAAAGGCGCAAAGCTACACAGAGAAACCCTGTCTCGAAAAAACCAAAAAAAAAAAAAAAAAAAAAAAACTCGGCCTTTGTGCTAAGCAGGCTGGATCTCCAATGACAGTGAAGTGTTTACTTCAATAGCAAACAATGTGCTAGGTCCTCTTGAGAACATCATCTCAGCAAATCTGTGGCAATCCTACGAGGTAGATAAACTCAAAGCAATAGCGAGGGGAAATCAATGCCATATGTCCAGGACTGTTGGCCAAGCTATTACAGACCTGGATGGGTGGTTGGAGGCCATGTTTGGAAGCTGTGGGTTGCAACACTTCCCTATCAGTATAAAAACACTCCAACATTTTCCCTACAAGGGAAGCCTCCTCAGTACGCACCAGCTGAGTGTCAGCCTTACTTGTATCCAAACAATTTCAATATAAAGAAGGAATTGAGGGGGCAATGAAAATCGATATAAATGGCCATGTGACTGCCCAACCGGAAACGATTTCAGATTAGGAGAAGGCCTCTGGAGGTGGCAGCGCTAGGTTCCAGAAAATAGGCTGACTTTGAGGACCTGACAGTGGCCCTGGAGGAGAGAACCGTGAGTAAGCCAAGGAAGAGCATCGGGAGCATGCGCGGCCATGCATGACCATGCGTGGCCCAGCAGTGCTGCAAGCGTGAAGTCTGGATGGGGACCAGAGGGAGAGCGACATGTCAGGGAGAAACAAAACACAAGCTGATGCACAGACTGAAGATCTTCAAAGTTGATGTCACTCGGCAAGGGTGGGCAGGAGGAAGAAAAGAGAGGAAAGGAGACAAAACTGGGCAGTTTATATAACTCCGCCTCCCACTCTCCCCGAGAATCACCTCCTTAAGAACCCTTCCTGGGCATGCCTTTCCCACACCTTTACACTGAGTTTGGAGGCCTCTGCACAGACTCCATGAGGCCCCAAGTGTTAGAACTAGCCGCTCATCATCTGGTGTTGGTCCCTACCCTGGGACTCTGAACCCCAACCCTCCAGAGTGGCCCAACTGGAGACCACACATACTTGAGCTAAAAAATTCCCAGATGAAGACTACATGGCTTCTTTAACTGGAGATATCTGCTGTGGTAGATTATAAAAGTATATTGGACTTCATATTGACATCTGACTGTGAGTTCAAATAAAGCTCCCTCTCTCTTTCCTGTTGCCCAAAAGTATGGGACTGGACAAATGCTATGATCAGTGAGCCATGGACAGGCACCCTGAGATCCAGGAGCGACAGTGTCACCAAGGGAGAAATGAGATGAGAAGAGCAGAATGAACCTGCTCCCACTGGCAGGAAGGCTTCATAAAATTAAGATTTCTGTAGGGCGATTGTGTTAGGGTTCCGGCAGGCTTTGTTGTAAACAGATGTTCACACTCTTAGTAATTATTTTCCAAGTTGACTAAACCCACTGATAACTTACAACTTAACTGATAGTAACTTGTAACTTAACCACTGTAAAACAAAACAAAACAAAAACAAACAAAACATCCTCTTTACCAAAAGAACCACAGTTGTCACCAGTTTATTTGTACTAGTAAAGATTACTAAGTTTAATTTAGCTAATAATATGTTAGGGAACAGGGAGGTGAGAAGATGGGAAGAGGTCAGAGGCAGCACAGAATAGGCAGACCGACAGGGCTCAGAGAGAGGCCAGGGGCCCTTCCAGAAGAAACCAGGGGAGAGGAGAAGCCTGCAGAGAAGGAAGCTACATTCCGTCCTGCATCACACTGTCTTCAGTCTGTGGCAGCCAATGGGGCCGCGAGGGGATGGGCGGCGCCTGTAGCAAGTCTGAAGCAGTAACTGATGTTGTTGTTTTGGTGTGTACGGGCATTTTGCCTGTGAAAATGCCGATGCACCCCATGCATGCAGTGTCTGCAGAAGCCAGAAGACAACACTGCATTCCCTGGAACTGGATTTGCAAGTGCTTGTGAGCCACCATGTAGAGGCTGGGAATCAAACCCTGGTCCTCAGGAAGAGCAACCAGTGCTCTTAACCACTGAGCCATCTCTCCAGCTCCATGTGTTATTTTTAAAACAAAATATTTCTTATTAATGTGAAAGAAAGTCAAAGTCACTATTTACATGGTTTATACCTAATTATAAAAACTTACTCACATGGCAGCAATTGCAGTTCCTGGGAATCTGACGCCCTCTTCTGACCTCAGAGGGTACTGCATGCACACGGTGCACATACATACAAACAGGCAAACACTCATACACAATAAACAAGAATAAATACATCTTTAAAAAAAACCCTGTCATTACTTTTGCTACTAACAGCACCTGAACCAGACCTTTCATGCTAAGTATAGCATTACCCTACCAACACTACCAAAATCAGTGTTCGTGGGTGCACACTCCTTTCCCTGAAAACCAAGCACTCAGGACCTTTCCAGGACTGAATTACTTTGGTGTTAATATGAGCATCCAAAAAGGCACAAGAAAAGCGCTTGGATGTCAGAGCAAGTGTTTACGTCCTCTGCTGAGCCACAGCTCTGTGACCTGGGGCAGGGTGTTGAACATCTCCACGCTTGTGTCCTCTTCTGTAAAAAGCACGGATGGTGATGGCCTCTTACGGCAGTTTTTAGCATTGCGTGAGATGGCCCATATGCTTTAGCACAGGGCTTAGACCTTAGAAACATTAATAACTACTGTCCAAGTGCTATGTGATAAAGAGAAGCAGAAATTTTTTTCTTATGAATGAAAATATGCACTGATAAAGAGAATTTAAAAAACAATGAAATTTGTTTAGTGTTTTCATGTATATCGCAAATTTAAATTTTCAAGTAGAGAGTGCTGTCCTTGATAAAAACAGAAAGTTTTTTTTAATGGCTTTATTGAATGTCAGGTATAACAAACTAACACCAACTGTGAGTCAGAACCTTAGAGATTCACAAAATGGGATACAAATAGTGTGACTTGCTTTTATACCAAGCTAAAAGAATTTGAAGTTGGGATGGGATGTAAGAACCTGCTGTAATACTCATAGCATGGGTCATAAGAGGCACTCCAACACATATGATGTAATTAATATTGTTCCACTTGGACGCATCTGTTACCTAGAAAAGTTCAAGTTTGCGGTGTGTGACCTTGGCTACACAAAGCCCCTTAGTCTACCACTCTCTCATTCAACCAGTGTTACTGAGCTGCTGTTATTAAATACCAGGCGACTGACTAAACGCTCAGTATTTAAGAATCTAACACCCCTGCGGATCTGAGAGTATGCAGCAGTACCACTGGACACTATCGGGAACCGAAAAGAGAACAACAGCGGTGTGTGTGTGTGTTGGGGGGCGGGTGTCCTTGGTGAACCTGCGGGGGACTCCTCACCTCCCACGCGAAAAGCGGCTCTGTCACTCAGGGTAAAGCCCGCTCCTCCATCGGTCCAGGTTAGGGCCGAGCGTCGCAGCATCCTCACCTCTCTCTCCCGCCCTCCCGCGCCCTGGCTTTGCCCTGCTGACTAGCGTCTCCATGGTAACCGTACACAAACCACCTTCTGCTGCAGGCGGGGCGGTCAGCCTGCAGACCCTCGGCGCCGCCGCCGAGCGATGCGATGCGGGATGCGCTGGAGTTGGTGCTGAGAAGGAGACTCCGGGCTCAACTCTGAGCACCTGTGACGAGGGCTGGACACACAGACCCTCGCGGAGGGAGATCAGCTGGTCCTCCAAGGCAGCAGCGACAGAGAGGCGGGGCGGGGCGGGGCGGCCCGACGCCACTCTCCACCACCGAGCCTGCGCCAATCCCGCTGCGCCTGCGTAGCCGTGCCGAGGCGTGGCGAAGGCGGGTTTGGGCGTGCCCGCGGGAGGATACCCTCGGGAAAAAGGCATGGGTGGGTGGAGGAAGTTTTCTCTTACATTAACAGTGTCTTCAACCATGTTTGCATCTCCCCGTGAGATCTCCGAGCCTCCATTAAACAGCAGGCAGAGGAACAATTGAATGTTTGGAGGAAAGAGTCGGTTTCTGATTATGGATGTCAACATCTACCTGGAACCTGTTTCTTAACCCCTCCTCTCTTACTCATAAGGGAGGAGGGGGTTATCCTGTGTGTGTCTTGGGCTGTGACAAAATAAATATAAAGCGCTGTGAACGTAGCAACGGATGCTAACCTGTTAGATACTTTTAACTCCGTGCATTTGTGCAGCACTCAGCAATTTACAGAGCAACAGAACAGCGAGGGACCCGAGGTCAGATCAGGTGAGCACCAGAGCGATTATCGTGGAGGGTTGCTGTAGCCAATCACTACAGCCCAGGCCCAAAGGGGAGGGGAGGAGTCCCATGTTTATGTTTTTAGTTCAATTCTGTTGGCTCCTATACTGAATCATTAGGTGACTCTTGTGAGATCCAAGCCAGGCAAAAGCTCTAGGTTCACACAATGGTTTATAAATATAGGGGTTATCAGACCAAGTGTTGTCAACACTGGAACAGTGCCATATCCCATGGTACCAAGCATCTTGTAGAGAATGACTAAATTGCATCTATTTTGCACACATATTACGTTTGATGAGAAATGACACCCGGTACTAAAGAAGGGAAAGGTTTTCCAAGGGCTTAACAAGATTTCCCATATCGCGGACACTGAAAACTCAGTGGTTGATTAAGTTTAGGACCCCAAACGAAATATTCATGTTCGTTGGGATTGAAATCCCCAACAGTGATTCAACAGGGTCTGTCCTATGAAGTCCCATTTACTAGTGACCAGACTCCTTTATGCCAAAGGACATTGCCTGTTGCATAGAAAGCCATAACTAGTGTTTTGATTTCACAGTTTGTGGTCTCTTGGCGGTCTTTCAAAATACAGTGATGTTTATCTGACCCTAGGAGGAGAGTTAGGTAGTGCTTTCTAATTTTTCTGCTATTAAATGACTGGTAATCTGATATTAACTCAACCTCAACGTCGTTCTAAATGATGTCTGGTGAAAAACATCAAATGTACCAAACTACAATAGCCAATAGAAATTCACTTTTCAGCTCTCTAACCCTCACCCCACATTTGGGGTCTACAGTGAGCCTTCCCAAAAGTTGCAATAAGTTGACTAACTAAAAAGTATCATCTCCAAGCTAGGCAGTGGTGGCGCACACCTTTGATCTCAGCATTCAGGAGGCAAAGGCAGGCAGATCTCTTGAGTTCAAGGCCAGCCTGGTCTACAGAGCAAGTTCCAGGACAGCAAAAGCTACACAGAGAAATCCTGTCTTGAAAAACAAAAACAAACAAAATTATCATTGCTATTGAAGCATCAGCTTAAAAACCTGTAAATCAGACATGGCCTCAGGCCTATAATGCCAGCACTCAGGAAGTTTAGGCAGGAGGATTACCACAAATTCAAAACTAGCCTGGGCTACAGCATAGGACCTTTTATCAAAGACAAAAGACAAAGCAAATAAACCAACAAAAGCAAACTGGTTATATCAATAATTGTTAGCTACAGTCTTGTGTCTAGGTTGTTGGTCCAAACTAGACCTTGTAGGCATACCATTGAAATATGAAGCTAGTCAACCTAGTAGGCCAGATATCAGTCAAGCAAGTTAGAATAACTGAAAAGAATAACAAAGACAGAATTATAGGGAACAATTACCTGAAGAAATAATGCTATATAGCTTATGTTACTGTAAATCAGTGTATGGGAGAATATTTAGGCTACCACAGTAGGGTCCTATGTGGCTGATATGGCTGCTCCTCCAGGTATCTGGTGGCTTTTAAACAAGATTAGCCGGGCGGTGGTGGCACACGCCTTTAATCCCAGCACTTGGGAGGCAGAGGCAGGCGGAGCTCTGTGAGTTCGAGGCCAGCCTGGTCTACAGAGAGAGAGATCCAGGAAAAGCGCAAAGCTCCACAGAGAAACCCTGTCTCGAAAAACCAAAAAAAAAAAAAAAAAAAAAAAAAAAAAAAGATTCTACATAGATGACTTTTGTAAAAAGGATGGCTTCAAAGCTACCGATATGTTTTATAGACCTTAAAGAGAAATGATTAGGCATATGACATTTATAGAGTACTTTATAGTTTCCAAATTGACTTCCTTTGGAACATTTCATTCTGTTGTCTTATTTAGATTTATGATAACCCTGAAAGGTTAATCCAAGGATTATTATTTGAATTTGAATTCAGAGGTCAGAAGGTTAGGTAATCTCTTCACAAGTATAGAGCCAGTAAAAAGGCATGTGAACTGGTGTTCGTGGTCTCTAAGTCCAGTTGGCTGTCCTGCTGAAATAACTGTAATCTTTCGGACCAAGGCCTCTCCTCCACAGTAATGGGAAGTACTCCCTGGGTGGCTGTGGTGGGCTGTAGACATCAAGAGGAACTTCACATCTTCACTTGAACATGCTCCACGGACCTTCTGGATTTTGAGTTAACAAGAGGATTGTGTAAGTGATAAATTAACAATGTAATATTGTGAACTCTCTGATAGAAAAATGAAGGGAGGGGCTGGAGAGATGGCTTAGCAGTTAAGAATGCTTTTTGCTCTTACAAAATATCAGAGTTTGGTTTCTAACACCCACATAGAGTGGCTCACAACCACTTGCAACTCCAGTTCCAGGGAGCAGGTATGAGTGCTTTTGCACACACACACACACACACACACACACACACACACACACACACACTACAACAGAATATAAACTTGTAGATGGCATTTATTTGCAGATGCTTGTTGTGGGATTTTGTACACTGTGTGAAAATGTATTGTAGTGATTGCTGTAATGAAAAGCTGCATGGCCAATAGCTAGAAAGAGATATAGACATTCATAGAAAAAATTGTTTAAAAATAATCAAGTCTTTAAAGAGAGAGTAAAGTAATACAAAAAATAAGCTATATAAAGCTGGGAAATACACAGGGCATCTGGATCCTATATGGTGCTTTGCTGACTTTGAATTTTTTAAATGTACAAAAAACAACAGCTACAGAGAGACATTGGATAATAGAAAAAAACTGCTAAATTAAATCAACCCATTTTTAAAGAATGTCTTATCTTCAAAATGGAAGTCAAAAAACATGTTATGTTAGGGGAAAGGTTATGCCTTTGTTTCCATGGGAAACAAAAAGTTACAGTTCTCTTCAAAATGAATAAAGATCAGATTTGATTGGGGGAGATCTAAAAATCTGTCTACAAATGCCAGTAGATCTTATAGTTTACATCACGCACGCCTTGTACTTAGTGTCTATTTCTTATTTTGACTTATCTATTAGGTATATCCTTGAAAAGACATAAATAAACAGTTCATTAACATTCAAATTCCTTCCTCACCATAAATTTATGGCTGTAACAGAGATGTAACTTTTAGGAAAGAAATGCTTCTGGCAACGAGTAAAGACTGCCAACTTAAAATTCTAATACTCACTTCAAGATGTTCAGTCATTTAATTATATTTATCACACAATCCCTGTAAAGAATTCATCAAACTGATAGCCCGTGCACTTCTTGCATACAAATTCAAAAGCATATATGCATTTAAATATAATTCGGTAGAACTTTACAATGTGATGGAAATTAACTGAGTTCATGAAACTTGGGGGACATAAAGCTATGGCTGACCGGAGGCATCAGCTCATAAAGTCACAGGACAAACCTCTATTGAATGGGGCTCAGCAGTTGCCTGGACATCTAAGGATTAGTTCACTTTTCCCACACTTTCCCTGCACCTCTGCCTCCGCCAGCCCTGACCACAGAGCCCACAGAGCTCAGACGGCTGACAGAGATACTGATGAGGAAGGGACCATTCAATGGCCATGTGAGTACAAAGGATGCAATTACTTAGTATTTCGTTGGAGGGAGGAGGTCCCAGTGTTCGGGCGAGTCTGTAGGACTCGGTGAAAAGCTTCATCCTGTGCTCCGGCTGTGGTGCCTCAGCCAGGTTAAAAGAAGCCTTTGAAGACAAGTGGAAAACGGCCATCTGTCCAACTCCCCTGTGAGACATACTGCCGGGATCTTTTGAAAAGTGTCCACCTGCAAATAACACACAGTTCTACCTAAGGGAGCTTAAATACCAAGGCCATGATGTACTGATTTGTTTAGCAATACTCTGGAAGTGGACTGGTTCAGTGTGGGTCCTGTAGCTCAGAGATCGACACGTGTCAGTCATAGCTCACATCGTCACAGATGGCTGTGGCATCACTGAGCTGTGCATTCTCAACCTGCAGAGTCCAGAGTCAGAAAAGAGAAGCGGATGGACCTTGTCCATCTCCATCAGGAAGGAAACATGTCCCAGGGAGCTGAGGGGCATTTGCCTACTGGGCACAAGGCCCTGAATTCAGACTTCAGTCTCCAGCAAAACATGGCAGAGGAGGTCTGTTCACGCCGTGATGGCTAGGAGGCGGGGAGAGACGGGAAGATGGGAATTCATGCCAGAGGAGGCCTATTCACATAATGGTGGCCTGGAAGCAAAGGGGAGCGGGATGAAGAGAGGACCCCAATATCCCTTTCAAGAGTGCAGCCCCCCACTAAATGCCACTAAAGACTAAGCTAGGCCACACTTTCTTCCAACGTCAGCAGAGACTAGGCACCCAGCCTTTAACAGCACAGACCCTTAGGGAACATTCAAGATTCAAACTGCGGTAGTCAAGGTTCTTAGTTTTTGCTTATTTGTTTTTTGAGACAGTTTCACGTAGCCCAGGCTGGCTCTGAACTATGTAGCCAAGGATGACCTTGAACTCCGGATCCTTCTGCCTCCAACTCCCTAGTGCTG